TCTCCTCCATCAGCGCCCGCACCACCTTGGCCCTTTCCCCCTCCTCCCTTTCCCCCTCCCTCCGTTCCGATCCGCCCACCGCGACCCCCATCCCCCGCCGGCCCGCGAGCTCGACCCGGTAGCCGGCATGACGAGCGAAGATATCCCGCAGCACCACCCCCAACGCGCCCAGCGTCTCCTCCCTCCGGACAACCCCCAACGATTCCTCCCACGCCTCCTTCCCTGCCGGCCCCCAAACGCCCTTCGTCCCGTGCGCATGCCCACAGCGCGCGGGTACTGCCCGTTCGGTCTCCTCGCCCTCCCTCCCTCCCTGCCCATCCTCCTCCTCTTCGATACACCCCTCCCACTCCCATTCCTCCGACTCTGACTCCTCCCCTCCTTTCCTTTCCTGGACTTCTCTGCCTCCTTTTTCGCTGCCGGTACCGACCAGACCCTTGGGACTCGCCTCTCTCGCCACGGTTCCTAGTCTCCGGGCAGGGGCGACGGCGGGGCCGGGCGGAGAAGCAGAAAGAGATGTGCCACGGGGGAATGTCGGGGAAGAAAAGGAAGGTGAGGGAGGGGACGAGAAACGCAAATCCAAATCGACGGCGTCCTCTCCGCTCCTTTTCCTTCCGAGGCCAAGAAGGGGTTGTCCGTGATGCTTGTCCTCCTCCTCATCATGACATGCCATGGTCGTGGGACGCATGGCTGCCGACACACGCGCCTGCAGCCTGGCTTGTGCCTTGAGTTTCTCTTCTCTGTACATCATGGAGAGCTTTGGGACGGGTAGGGACTGCTGCGAGGGGGGAGTGGACAGTGCTCCCCCCGAGGGTGATACCTTCAGGGCACTGCCCCTCTCCCCAAAGTCTGCCGTCCTCCCCGTTCCTCCCGCATTCATGGTATCTTGGACTGATTCTGAGAAGCTCCTTCGGTTTTGTGGAGACCGGGGAGTGACCATCCTCCTGAAAATTGGGAGGAAATTAACACGGAGATGAGCTATACTTTCTCCCGCCGGTCCGAGCGCCAGTCTACACAGCCCGCCCCGCTGAGTGCTGTGAGACGCCGCGATTTTCAATTTAAAGCAGGTAAAGATGACAAGATAATCTCACTCGAGACTGAACCGATGCTCTTGACCAGAAAATTTCGGTCGTCCCGTCTGAAGAACGATGGACCGAGGCATTTCCATTCTCTGGCCTGCGGTTTTTGAAGTTTTGTCGTCGTTGGCGAGGGGGCATATACCCCCCCTGTACGAGCCCGCGCGGCACCTGTAACAGCGTCCCAGGCCCGCTGGGGCCTTCCACCTACCGGTGCTGACAGTCAGGAGGAGATTGCTGGAGAATAGGCTTGATTTTACGCACACGGTGGCAGGCATGGTGGTGGTGCCGGTGGGAGTGTCGCGCGCCAAGACGGGAGCATATTAGCCCGACGGCTTCAGGACTTGCTGTATCGAGCTTGTTGGAGGATCTGTCTACCGGCACTTAGCAATGCTCATGTCCGTCCGTGAAACGTTAAAGCGCATGGACACAAGAACTCAAACAGGAAGGCAAAGGAACGGAGTCAGGGACATTTATGACGTGGTTGCTTTTTCTTTCCCATGCCGGAGTTGCAGTGGCCAGAGGCAGTTGAAGATGGATGTGCTCAAGGCATTCATGACGCCCTAATCTGACATCCCCATTTGCATTTCCTTCTTCATAGGCGTTGCCCAGTCAGGTCATATCAACACGTCCGATGGCTACCTGTTTATAAAGCGGATCGCAACCCAGCAGGCAGGCCGGATGCCTTGCTCTCCTGGCTTCCCTTTCTTAGCCCCGCCCTTACCATATGTTTATTCACCTTCCCGCTACCCGTCACGGGGAGAACCTGTCTGAATTCAAACTCTCGTGGCACTTTGAACCCAGCCAGGTGCCGTCGACAGTGCCTCACGAGCTCCTCCTTCACCGCCCCCTGTCCGTCCCCCGCGCCCTCCCTGAGCACCACCACGGCCACCACCTTCTCTCCAAACACATCGTCGGGCATGCCTACCACCGCGGCGGACTCGACGCAGTGGTGCATCTGCAGCACGCCTTCCACCTCCGAGGACATCACTTTCTCGGCCCCCGTGCGAATCACGTCGGCCAACCTGCCCACCAGGCGGAACCTCCCGTCCGGATCCATCACCCCTAGATCGCCCGTGCAGAGCCAGGGGCCCTCTGTTTCCCCCGAAGCTTCTCTTCCGCCGCTTCGTCCACCTCGTTTTCCTCCTTTCTTTGGTGTTCCGAATGCCTGCGTGCCCGTGGGCGGCCTCGAAGGGAGGAGGAGGGGTGGGAGGGGAGGAGAACCAGGGAGGGAGGCAGGAGAGAGCTGAGGGTAGACCAGTACTGCGGCCGTTGCACCGGGTCGACGCCAGTAACCGTTCATGAGGTGGGGGCCTCGGGTCGCAATCTCCCCCACTTTCCCGACTTTGTCGACGAAAATTCGGGGACGCAGGCCAGGCCCCGGTCGTCGCGTTTCGGTGGAGGAGGATGAGTCTGGAGGAGCAGAAGGGGACGGCACGGTTGGACCGAACCTCCCCTCTCTTCCCGCCCTCTCCCTGTCCGCCCCTCGATCCTCCTCACGCCCTTCCACATCCAAGAGCGCTACCTCCACGCCGGGCGCTGGATGCCCGAGGGAGCCAGGGGGAGGGAGAGGGGGAGGGAGG